AGGAGTTTTCATCTCCCCAGCAGCCTCAGATTCAGCCAATTAGAATCCTTAGGACATGGGAAGAAAATCAAGGAAGAACTGAGAGGGAAATCTGATTTATAAAACGCAGATGTCTTGCATAGGTAAAAGCTGTTTAGGTATACCTTGTTAAGATTACTGACTTTGGATATTTAAGCATACTTTATTGTCTTTGGAATCTAATGCTTCTATATAAGCTCAGCTCTGGTGTGTTTTTGTGCAACGTGGAAACTTGTTGTTTCTAACTAAAAGACTACCTTGTCAGCCAGAACCTCAGATTTTCCTATTGAAGTCTAAGATTTTCTCTCATTTTTGCAGATCTGTATTTTTATCTCCTCTATCACTAAATCTTTGCATACAACTATAATAATAATAATAATAATAATAATAATAATAATAATAATAATAATAATAATAATAATAATAATAATAATAAAGTTGGAAGGAACCTTGGAGGTCATCTAGTCCAACCCTCTGCTCAGGCAGGAAACCCTATCATTTCAGACAAATGGCTGTCCAATCTCTTCTTAAAAACTTCCAGTGTTGGAGCATTCACAGCTTCTGGAGGCAGGTTGTTCCACTGGTTAATTGTTCTGTCAGGAAGTTTCTCCTTAGTTCTAGGTTGCTTCTCTCCTTGATTAGTTTCCACCCGTTGCTTCTTGTCCTCGGAAGTCCGCGAAACCTCTTATCGAACTGAGGGAGAAGAAACACCGTCGGGGACTCTATAACCTTGTGACGATAGTACAGGGGGGAGCAGGAAGAGAAGCAATTTGATCTGTATGGGTTAAGGTCCAACCGTTCCTTATATGTTTTAGCCTCCAGTCCCCTAATCATCTTTGTTGCTCTTCTCTGTACTCTTTCTAGAATCTCAACATCTTTTTTTATATCGTGGTGACCAAAATTGGATGCAGTATTCCAAGCGTGGCCTTACCAAGGCATTGTAAAGTGGTATTAATACTTCACGTGATCTTGATTCTATCCCTCTGTTAATGCAACCTAGCACTGTGTTGGCTTTTTTGGCAGCTGCAGCACACTGCTGGCTCATATTTAAGTGATTGTCCACTAGGACTCCGAGATCCCTCTCACAGTTACTACTATTGAGCAAGGTACCCCCTATACTATACCTGTACATTTGATTTTTCTTGCCTAAATGTAGAATCTTACTTTTTTCACCACTGAATTTCATTTTGTTAGATAGTGCCCAGTGTTCAAGTCTGTCCAGATCCTCTGTATCTTAAGCCTGTCTTCTGAAGTGTTGGCTATTCTTGCCAGCTTGGTATCATCTGCAAATTTGATGATTTCCCCATCTATCCCCTCGTCCAAATCGTTGATGAAGATGTTGAAGAGCACTGGGCCCAGAACAGAGCCTTGGGGCACCTTACTACACACTTCCCTCCATATAGATGTGGTTCCATTGAGGACCACACACTGAGTATGGCTGGTCAGCCATCTACAAATCCATCTGGTGGTCATGCTGTCTAACCCACATTTTTCTATCTTATCAAGTAGTAGGTTGTGATCTACTTTATCAAATGCCTTACTGAAGTCCAAATACATTATATCCACAGCATTCCTCTGATCCACTAATTTTGTCACTTGGTCAAAGAATGCAATAAGATTTGTCTGGCATGATCTGTTTTCGACAAACCCATGTTGGCTTTCAGTAATGACTTTGTTTGCCTCTAGGTGTTCGCTGATTCGTTGTTTGATTATCTTTTCCAGAATCTTCCCAGGTATTGAGATCAGGCTGATAGGTGTGTAATTTCCTGGATCCATTTTTTTTCCTTTTTTGAATATGTGAAGCCGCTGGGTGAGATCATTCGAGGCTTTGGGGTGGAGTTCCATCAGTACGCTGATGATACTCAGCTGTACATCTCCACCCCGGGTCACCCCAACGATGCCCTTGACGTGATGGCCCGTTGCCTGGAGGCCGTACGGGTCTGGATGGGAAGGAACAGACTCAGACTCAACCCTTCCAAGACCGAGTGGCTG